TGTTGTGAATTGGCGCTATAGAAATAAACTGAATAGAATTGTTCTTGTGAACTGGAACAGTACTAGGGCTAAGGCTGATGACATTTCACAAGTACACAAATACATTAGAATGCACAAGTAAACATATTGAGAAACGGCCATTGAAAAAAGGCATCAGTTTAATGCAAGTTTTTCTCTTCTTCTCATTTAAAGAAGGTTGGTGATAAACTGATGGGCTTTGCTGCCGCCAACTGGTAAGGAGTGTAACAGCTAGTGGCAGATCTAGGGGGCGGCTACTTGGAACGGATTATATCAGGTGGCTAAAATATTTGATTTCCTTCTATTAACTATGCAAGTAATGATCAAATGTCACCAAATCCAGAGGATTTGTTGTTAATGAAGAGAGAGAGAGAGGAATAAACGCAGTTAAAGATTTTGCATGTAAATTAATTTCTTCCCATGTTATGGAGGGGGAATGGATTGTTTCCGGCAGCTAAAATGTCCCTTCTCTCCTCTCGTCCTCCCATATCTTTGGTAAGTAAATAGAAACCATTTCCAAATTCTCAAAACTTGATATGCGTGATAGCATGTAGTATACTAGAAATATCCTTAATCCAGTAATCTGTCATATTTTACATTAAAACAAGATTAACCAGAAAGTTTACACTCTCATCTTCACCCTCAGGGCCCCTGATCACCTAGAATCTTAGATCCGCCCCTGGTAACACCTCTATCATGTTCTTCATTCATTCTTGTAAATTAGTAAATTGTACTTTTAGAATGACAAATTGTAACCTCTAAAGCTACCATAGGTCTGTATGAGCCACATAGGAACAAATATTATATTTATTCACATTACTGACTTGCTGTAGATTTATATATTTAAACATCTATGCGTACGTTTTTCATTGATGGCTATTTTGCCCCAGATAAGTCATTTTAAAGGAAGAACGGACAGAACTGGTATTCTTCCCTCTTCTGCACTTGACTCAATAATCAGGCAATGAGCAGAAATGACTCGGTTTTCCAGCAGTAAGCTTGTTACTGCTTAACCTTAACAGATCAAAGATCTGATCTACATTTAGTTTGTTAGCTTAAAAGGTCCGTCTTAAGGGAACTTGGCTGCAGTCTTAGAGCAGACACGTAAAGTGTGAGTCCTACCTCAGCAGGATGAGAGTGAACAAAGACGCCTTCAGCATCCCTGAACCGCCTCTCCAGCTCCGCCGTGTACGGACGTGAGGGATGTCTCTCCGGTAAAACCCGAATGATCTGCAATCAGAACCAGAGTTTAGTTTATGACTGATTTTTATTAAAAATATACCGTTAGATGGAGAAGTACATCATCCAGTTTCACATTCAAGATGCATTTTGAGTTTTCAAGATGAAATAATAAAAACTGGATATTTTCTTCCAAAATCCCCAGAGAACTGAATAGTTTCTGAAGTCATTTAGGGTTTTAATCAGTCACAATGTTTCCTCCTCACTGTGTTTAGACCACAGTAGATCCATTAAGTCCTGGCATGTAGGAGAAGGAGGCTCCATGGATCTGCATCATTCAGAACCTCCTATAGATGATCTACTGAGCTCTGGAATTTTTGGAGGACAGGTCAGGACCTTATCCTGGGCGTTGTGGATTCCTCCTGGTGGAAGAGCGGGCTGCTGGTTTTTGTTTTGGCCAGAGCTTCATGGCAGAGCAATTCAATTCAGTTTATTTATATATAGCGCCAATTCACAACACATGTCATCTCGCGGCACTTTACAGTTCATGAGCAGCAGCGTCGACATGAAGGGTAGGACCAACGAATCTCATAATTTTTCTTTGATTTATTCTAAACTCAATTTTAAAAAGTTAAACAAATCTCTAATATTGAATAAAAAAAGGAATCACAATGATGACTTTGTTCCTTGGAGTTTAATCTCCAATCAGCGTTTTAATGTCAAACAGTTTTTCTGCTAAAGTACGGAGCTCCAAAGAGGACACAATTTCTTCTCTGTTCTGATCTCATCACAGTTAAAAACATTTTTCAACCTTCTTTTATGTGGAGAAGCAAATCGACAAAAAAAAAAAAAAAATGGTTTGATTTAACGGATTTGAATGAAAGTTGAAGAAAAGTTGCTTTTTTTCTGAGGAAAAGCTGGAGAGATAGTTTCATTTTAAACATTTCCATTTCGATCACAACACTGATAATCTGCTGTTTGAAAAGTGAAAAAATAAACTGCAGCTCCAAAAAACCCTGAAGGGTCTGTTGACATTTAGCAGCTAAACTTGTTTTATGTGTTCTGAGGGAAAATGTGTGATCAGATGATGTGCTTGTGAAACCGACCCGGAGTTTTAGCTCAGAGTGAAGATTTATCCCGGAGCCGTGCCAACAGTATGGTGTCGGCAGTTTCAAACAACAAGCGCGTGACAGGAAGCAGGATGAAAGACTTTTACAACATTTTGCACAAAAATGGTATGGAAGCTGCCCCACCAACAGGGGTTTCCATGTTTCCACAAACAAAGAGGGATGATTAGATTTTAAAGGTTTATTTCTGAACTGATTTGCTGCAGCTGACTGAAATAACAGATCAACTCACTTAGCTGCAAATACCAGCCACTATTAGGTTACACGTCGGTCAAATGCAGTTAGAGAAGATATTATTCGGAAGCGGACGGCATTTATCCTCCTAATTCCTGACGGGTGATTCTCAGTGAGAGCCTGCAAGAACAAGAGTCGCTCCAGTTTATCTCTGAGATCTGGAACATTTGGAGCATTAGTGAACTAGAACATGAAGGGTTCGTTGCTTCGACTGTTGGGAGGAGGCGTTGAAAAGCTGGGTGAACTGCGTGTGCTGGCATGCACACATTGTCAGCATGAATCCGACAGGAAACAATAACAAATAATGGTTTCTGTCTGCATTATCTGAGTGGGTCTGGCTCCTCCGTGTGGCGGTTTGTAACTACAGCTTTAACCATGACCTTCATCCCCAAGATGAACATTTCATTATCCCAGAAACTTCCAAACATCATTAGAATAAAGCATAACATCTTTAATAACAGCTGTCGTGCAGAAACCCTTCAGCAAAGGTTTGCTGTCTGATTTCACTCCTTTGGCCACTATCATACTCTTTTTTTTTGTTTTGTTCTCAATCTGACTGTTTATAGTAGTAAGAAGTTCAGGGGTTCAAATCCTGGCCGTTGTTCTTTCTGCACGGAGTCTGCATGCTGGTCAGAATGCGTTGGGATGCAGAGGCTCTCATGGTTGGCTTAATCACAATCTCCACTACCGTGCCTACAGTAACAGCTGACAGGAGGAGTTTGTGGTGCTTGGTTTTCTGCAGACACAAGGCTCTCGGTCCATTCTGCTCCACTGCTGTTAGAGAGGAGAGGCTTTCTCCTGTCACGCTGTGGAGGCCTGTGGAGACGGAGCTCCTCAGTTTTCCTGTCAGTTCTCTAAGCATGCAGGCTCTGAATAAGTCCTCTGATCCTGGGAAGATCACCAGATGTTGAAACACTTTCATGTTGGGAAAAATGTTCCTCTCTTTAAAACAACAAACTTAATCCTAAGTAAAGCCCTTAAACACCCTCCAGATCGATACGTGCAAACGTTGCTTCTCTACGCCATACGATTAACTGGCTCCATCACATTTTTTCTATTTAGGCTCCATCTTTGCTGAAGAAATACTGGCAGCTTGTGAATAAACTATGTCTGTGCAGAAGACGGCCATTAGTGAAGGTTTTAGAGTCGTCCTGGGTAGATAAGCAGAAACAGACCCCAACTATATATTTCTTTTCAACATTGGCAGATTTTTCCTTAGCATTTCTCATCAAGGTTTTGAACCCCTTAAGTTTTCTATTAGGACCAAGGGAAACCCACCTTTTTTAAGACACCTTGGTTGACTTGAAACCACAGCCTCTGAAGAACCAGCTCATCCAGGCCCTCCACCTTTAACTTCTGAAGAAGACGACAATATTTGCATTAAATGTAATCAAACACAAACAGGTGGGTAGATATGCGCCCATATTTTAGCCAAAGCTCTGCAGACTCTTCATAATTGGTCTTTGCTGTTTTTAATCCAGATTTGAACAGGACACTATCTACTGCAACATAAACCAACAGAACTCTGCTGTGAAAGTAGGAAATCATGCATTTCATACCATTTTACTGATATTTGACAGCTTAAAGATCTCCTGGTGATGAACTCGGATGGAGTAGTTTATGGGGAAGTTGTGCTTCTGTAAGGGAGAAAGAAAGAGAAGTGTTAAGCATCAAACCAACTGTAGAGTGAGGAATAGAAATGGATTGTTCAGAGGCGAAATATCTGGAAAGTTTCTGCACCAGTGGAAACGACTCTGCAGCTTTAGCTTTCTGGAAAGATGGTCTTTTAGCTTCAAGGCTGATTGATTTCTGCTGCATTTTAGCCCAAACTAATCAGCTGACATCAGCATCACTACAGATGAAGCTGTAACAGAGTCCAGCTGAGATGCTCCATCAATCTAACCAGTTGATTAGCTGAAACCATCTCTGTCCTAATCTATTTGCAGGAATGGCTGCCGTTGGTAGTTAGCATCAGCTGCAGGCAGCCTCTCCTGGATCAACAGGAACTTGAAGCTAAGATGCTCGGCTGCAGCGATCGCAGCTTTGAGATCTACAGCATCAAGGAGTAACCAGAGCAGGGCTTCCTGGTGGTTCTAAGAGCATTAGAGGCCTCTCCAAAAAAAAGTGCAGCAAAGAATCTGCTTCAGTCCCAGAAAAGCACCAAAACCAGCAGGAATTCTGCAGGAGATGCCAAGATGGACACCATCCTGGTGCAAAGTGACTTTCACTGATGATATGCAATAACCGCTCCTTCCAACCAACTAGGAACATTTTAGAGATACTGTGTGAATCTTCCAGCGTGACGGGGCGCCGTGTCCTACGGCTAAAGTCATAAAAATGTGGCTCAAAGATCAGAACGTTTGGACCTGCAGTCAGGAAATTCCCCTGAACTAAACCACGGCGACAAGCTTTGGTCGGTTCTAAGAAAAACAGAGAGGGGGAGAAAAACCAACTGGGACCAAGTCCCAGAAGACAAGAGTTGGTCAACCGTAGTGAGGATCTGATGCATTCATGCAAAAGGAGGCCCAACCAGGAGCTGCATTTTAGAAAAACAAACATTTCTGCTTAAGATCTCTAGTTTCACATTTTAGATTAAAAAATTGAAGTTTTCATGATTTATTTAGATGAGAAATCCAAGAATGGAAGGATTGAAATGTTTTGCTATATGTCTAAATCAATATTAAAATATTGATCTTTATTCAATATCCCCACAATTTTTATATAATTTATTCTTCTTGTTTTTGAAACCAAACTGTCCCATCAGAAGGTGATAGTGGTATTTCTTCTCATGAATGATATTCTGTCTGATCAAGAGTCCTGACTGCAAACTGTTACTCGTAAAAACAAGTTTTCCCCTCCGAGCCTGAGCCGTCATCTCACTGCAAACATTTGGCCTCTGACCAAGTCCTACAATCTTGATCTAAAATCTAATTTTGAGAGAAAAAAAACAAATGGTTTGGTCTTCTAGGAACCACAACAGTTATAAATAAGATATATACAGGAAGGGGTGAATAAACCTCTGACTGTTTACATATTTAAAATACTGCCTGCTTAAAAAAGAAAAAACGGTGATAAGGCACTATAATGCCTGTGGCTCCGGGTCCCACATCTTCCTAAAAATGGTCCTATTGCAGCTCTCTGAGCATCACATGTCACCCTGTCAAAACCACACAATCCTCACCCTGTCGATGCTAAGCTAACGCTAACACCTTCCTTCATCTAAGTTCAAGTTTCCACGTCAGAGGACGATGGGTGGACCGCCTGCTGCTGCTCCTCATCCGTTCCCTCCAGGTTACACCAACATCTTACCATGAACCGCCGCCTGTGGCTGAGGCTGTCGTTGAGCGTCTTCAGCGGCGTGCACATGCTGGGCGGCGTGGGAGCCATCAGAACCGGAGCCATCAGAAGCAGGCCTAGAAAAGACGGGACAGATTAGCTGTACAAGCTGTCATCACCATGTGCATCTCAGACTCAGACATGCAGGAAGGACTGATTTTAAACAGGGTGCGGGCGTTAAAGGATGCAGGTGTCTCTGCTCGGGTCTTTGTTTCTGGTCCATGTCATCTTTGAGGTAATCCAGTGAGAGGACAGGAAAACCAGGCGTTTTTTTCATTTTTAACAAATGTGGTGTCAACCAGTCAGCAGACGCATCAATAACTGATCATCAGATACTGGAGTTTGGTCAGTTTGACCTCAGAGAAGCTGCTCTGCTCTGATCGAACAGGGTCATCTCTGAACGATTAAAATCCTTCACCACCACTATGTCGTTCAACAGTCGGCATTCTTTGGGAATGGAAGACCCGGCACATTTAGCTCAGAAATAAAAGAAAGAACCAAGAGCTTCAGCTCAGACTCTACAGGTCAAAGGTCACGACAGGACAGTTAGAAGGACTCTGAACAGACATGGCTGTTTTTGGCAGAGGAAGAGGATGGAAGCATCAGTTCTAAACAAAGCAGAAGACATCTGGAGCCATGTCCTTTGGACAGACGGGACTAAGGTAGAGATGATGACCCTAGAGAGAAAAACAAAAACCAATCCATAACCTATCCTGGAAAACCCCACCAAGATAACCATCTGTATTTAGGGGGGAGAAATACAAATTCCCCATCAAGCTAAAAAAAGCCATAGCCCCCCCCCCTGCTGTTCCCACAGTTAAACCCACAGTGATCACGGGTGCAGTTTAGTGAAACCAAACTGGCTGGACTAATAAAAGCGAACAGGATCCAAGTCGTAAAATAAATTGCTCATTATTTAAACTCAACCGTGAAAAAAGTCCAACAGAGCTGGACTGAATTTGGCTATGGAGAGAAAAATATCAGCCAATCAGGGCACAATCAATTGTTTCCAAATATGCATAAAATACAATGCAGACAGGTTTGATTTTAGCATCAACATAAGAGAATAAAAATTTACAGACAGAAAAAAAAACACAAAAACAAGAAATCAAACACAAATAAATGAACTCGTTAGGAAAGCCATAAATAATATAAAATAAACAGCTCAGAAACAATCAGAAAAGACAGTGACAAAAACCCAAACAGCAGAGGATATAAAAGCTGATAAAAAGGTTTTCTGTTAGTTAAAGAAGATTTGACTCCTTTAGTTTCTACTTCCAACTTCTTTCAGGAGGTAAAAACGGTTTCACTTTCATCTTATGGTAAAATGGATGCCATACATCAGTCATATTAATAATGAAAAGTAATCTCCAGTTGGATATCTTGGAAAATTCTGCTTTTTATGTGTAGATTCAAGGAAAGAATTATTAAAGCGCACTAAATCAATTCTTATTTCATAGAAAAGAGTCATCAGTAGGAAGTGTTACTATAGTCCACAGATCCTTTATTCTTACAATTAAAACAGATGAAATTTTACAGAGAACCATCCCCTTTTATAAATTATGTTTAGAATTCAGCATAAAATGTTAGCAGTTTATCAGCAGAAAAGTCCAATTAACGAGATCAAATATTATATTTGAAGGGAAAAGAGATTTATGCAAACCTGAAATCCAAATTACAGTAAAGGAAGATTGCATCTCTGTTCCTTAGATTAATGTAAGAAATCTTAAAAAAAAAAAAAAAAGTAAACTAAAAGAGGAGACAACCAGATAAGCTGCTTAAAGGAATGGCACACCCAAAACATGATTAGCCTTCATTTTCTACTCACCCCCATGCTGAACAACACTCTGGAGTACTTTTTTGAT